ACAAAGGACTTAGGAGAAAATATCTGGTTAACAACATTGTAATGCCAGAGGTAAAACATAGCAATATTAATTCTAATGCCCCTAGTAGGGACTACTAGATTTCATAGTGTCATCAGTAGGGCGCACTACAGGCCATGTTAGCTGTATTAAACAAAGTAGAAGAAGCCAGAAACAAAACTGACTGTGAAAAAAAAAAAAAAACTTGAAGTAGAACAAACAAAGCTTTGGCCATGTATGAGAGAAATATGGAGTCTTTTGGAGCTGTTTGTAATTGGGAAAGTTATTCTTCCATGTCTGCTGGTATCAGCCGTCTTTCATGCTGTCCAGGGCCAAAGACAATGAATCAGTCATTCGATGTTCGCTCCTTCAGAAGTTATTCTTTAACCAGTTTCTTGAACTCTGCAATTTTTATTAACTTTAAGTTATTCATTTATTTTTTAGCAATGAACTAATGTAGACTATTATTAAATTATGGAAACACAGCAAATGAAAACTCCCATTCATTCTTCAACTCATCCCTCCATCTCCTACCTGGCTTTGTATTTCTGGAACTCCTTAGCTCGACGTTGCAGCAGCTCCTCATACTGGTTCTCGGGTATATATGTTTTGAGAATCAACGAGCCATCAGAACAAGTGCATGGACCAGGTGAGGGAAGGTGACTGGGGAGTACTGACCTGAAAGGGTAGGAGTGATATGAAAGTCCTTAAAGGTGAAAATGGTGTTCATTAAAAACATGTACAATGTTAAAGTAGCATGAGAGGGTTCTCACCAGCATTGTAACAGAGTAATGGCCTGTTACGCTGCTGCCTGAAAAAACTACGCTGTAAATTCGGCCGCTACGTTGTTTTCGAGGATATGTAGTGCCAAAATGACCATGTCACTACGTTGATTGTACCTGGCTGACTTACATGTATTCAGGCAAATATTTAACAACAAGCGCAGATGCAGTTTCTCTTCGCTGCTAACACTGCTATTCATTGGCAGCGAAGACTCTAACGTCTTCGCTAACGGGGCGGAATGTCGTTAAGCCACCCCCCTGCCCGCTACGCTGTCAAAAATTTCTGTCGAGGACCCTGCATGAGAATAACGTCCTAGAGAGTCCGACCCAAAGAAGTTCTCCTCTCTTTAAGGCCAATGAGACTGTTGCTGGGACACATGATTTGGTGAGCAGCATACCAACTCTCGCCAACAAACAGTTCAGCTCTTTGTGTAAGGAAATACACAGCTGAATGTCAATACATGCCCAGATTTACCAGCTTAAAAGGCAGAAAAGTTGAAGGACCTGACCAACCAAGTTGGACAGAGTGGCAGATTTCATTTTCTTGCTCTCCTGCTTGTTGGGCGCCATCCCACCAGTGTAGACATGCAACTCTTCAGAACATCCCACAAATATATCTGCTGTTCTAGTCCGTGTCCATGTTCACTGTATGTCAAGTTATTCTCTTGTGTTATTTAGCAGAAAAGACATCTAAAAGAGACTGTAGGTGATTTGAATGGACGTGGTGCAGAAGCATGAAGCCCAGTAAAAACAAACTGACATTTGTCACAAAGAAGTTCCATCCCAACGCAATAAAACCACATTTTATCACCACTACGTCGCTCGGAGATGTTTCCTTCAAGAACTTACACACAGTTAAACCTTATAATATACAGTCTCATGTTCCTTAAGACAGAGAAGGAAGAGGCAGTATGCACAAATCGACAAATAATTGGCTTTACCTCAGTCTAGGTGTATTGAGCGCCTCCTTGGCCTGCTCCCTGGAAACGTCATGGAACATCACGAAATAAGACGCCAGCAGGGCGATGAGACACAAAACAGCAACCACCTGAAGCTGCGATCTGGGAAATACAAACATCTGGAGACACACACACAGTCATTTTCAGGATCAAATCCACCTTTCAAATCTTAACATGAAGAAAACAAAAACAAATCAGTATTAACTTCTCATATTTCTATCAACTTTTCAGGGTCTGTAAGTACGTTTTCTGACCTGAAACCGATTTCAACTTACACTTCTAAGTTAAAATGACTTATAATAATTGTTATTTTAGGTTAAAAGGGATAATGGCTTTAAATTGTTTTAATCTTTCAACTTTATTCCTCATCTTGACTTCACTAATTTAGACTTTTCAATGAATCCACTTGGAGCTTATTTGTTCAAAAACAAACTTTATTTTAACAACAACGCTCATGCCTTCACATTTGCGATGTATTGTCCCCATCAAACACTAAAAGGTGGCGTTAAGGGATTAGAAACAGCAGTTGGCCAAGTGCACCGAAACATTTACAAGTTTTTTAAAAGCGAGGAAAACAGATATTGACTTTGTCAGAGGAAGATACGTGGACAAAGAGGGAAAGTGACAAAGATGGACAAGGAGCATAACAATATCGCTTAACAATTATTTTAAAGCTGACTTTTTGATCTTAGTTTGCACATCACACATGAATGGNATATGTCACACATTAAGGTGAAAAACACCTGGCGTCCCCCCCTCCTCCTTGCACACTGTCTTTAGGAGTTGCTTGTTCTCTGCAGGATGCAAAGCAGCAGTTCTGGAGCTTTGAATTTGCTGAAAGACCGAAGCAGAGGATTAAGGAAATGAGGTGACAGACAAATCATATTTAAAGTCTATTTAGGGCTTGACTGCAACAAACACTGCAAGTTATATCAGACATGTAAGTCTGTCTTAGTCCTACAACTTCTAATCATCTGGCAAAGACCATTTTTACTCCTTTTCACTCATTGTTTGCTGTTTACAAACTCCTGAGAGAAAACAAATTTCTTTATAGGTGTGAAGTGCTCCATTAAAGTCAGTACATGGTGGTTAT